TTCCTTCCAGCTGGAGACACAGTGACTCCATACGCAGGAAATGGTTCACTCTGGCGGGTAGGCAAGAACACGCTTGTACCCCTTGATGGCGACATCTCCCTTAGGATCTCCTTAGGATCTCCTTAGGATATCAGCATGCTGGCCGAGGACATCAAGTCACTTTTAGTCACAACATCAGTGCAATTTGCAGTGGCAAGTGTTTGTTTCACCCTGCCTTTGAGGGCTGTCCGAGGGAGGCTGAAGGGTCTGGGGAATCTGTGGGGGCTGCACCAGCTGCCTGGAAGATGACAGCAGCCACCCACACTATAGGGGACCCTGGGGTCACTCATCCAGAGGAGTTCAACTTTCCTTAGCAACACAACCCCTTCTCCAAATGGAATTTTCTGCAAAAACTCAGGAGCACAGAAGGAAACAGTGCTACTGTGACTGAAGGGGGCTTGAGGGATCACAGCCTTATCGGCTCAGCCTCCACTCCCCAGAGCCCCAGAGAGACTCCAGGCAACCCTAGGGGTTCCAAAGAGTGCACCTTGAAAACTAACCATGTACCTCTGTAGTTGGTGTGATGTCAAAGCAAAGAGTATAGAATCCGAGTCGGACTGCCTCAGTTCAAACCCTGGCTTTGAACTTGGACATGGTATTTGACCTCTCTGTTCCTCAGTTTCACCTCTGTAAAATGGGGATGACTCATAATGCTTATCTCTGTTGTCGTTGTGACTGCATGTGGAACACCTGGAATACCTGGCTTGTCCTCTGAGGGGGAAGGGTCAGGGTCAGGGTCAGCTCTTCCCCAGATGAAAGCACTGATATCCAAGAGTTGAGTGTCTTGCCTGCCACACGGCCGGTTAGCAGCTGGACTAGGGTCTCAGCCTAGTTCTCCTAGACCCCAAGCCTAGGGCTCATTCTGCCATGCCCACAGAATGCTAATTGCTTAAGATGGGTGTTCTTTTGGGTTTCTGGGGGCCTTTCAGAGTGTGCCCACTGGACTCTGGGATTGACAGGCTTCTGTCCCTAGGGACTCTCTGACCTGCAGGTTGAGGATTGAGGATTAGTTTTTGAGAAGGATCCTGTTTGACAAAAAAAGGAGGGAGCTCCAGGAAGGTGACCCCTTAGAGAATTCCCTGTGGCAAAGAGGTATATGGGGGAGGGTGAAGTGTGGAGAGGGCACCAGAGCAGAGGAGCCTACCTGGAGTGTGGCCATGACCTCCAGCTGCTTCCTACTATAGCTACCAGATCATGAGCTTGTGAAACACCCCTCTGATCCCATCCTTCCCCTGCTCAAAAGCCTACCATGGCTCCCGTGGTCTACAGAACAAAACAAGCCCCTCAGCTGGATAGACGAGCCCCTTCCCCATCAGGCCCTCCTTTCCTTCCAGGCTGGTCTCCCTGAATTCACTCCCCATACCCTAAGTCCGGCTCCTCAACAATGTGTCTAACACTTTTCCCACCTCCACACCTTTTCCTCTGCCTGGACTATCCTACTTTCGCCTCACTTCCATCTTCAGACTACGCCAAACACCACCTCCTCAGGGTGTCCTTCCCAGATAGCTCACTTGTCCCGCAAGATTGATAAAGTCCTCATTTGTGCTCCCAGGGCCCTTTGTTTATGCCTGAGATAAAACAAACACCAACAACCATACTAATGGTACCCATCCATTGAGTGCTAACAGCAACCCTGTGGGAGACACTGAGTGGTTAAGATACTTGTCCAAAGTCACACAGCTGTTAAGAGGTAGAGGTGTGGCTGGGCGCAATGGCTCATGCCTGTAATCCCAGTACTTTCGGAGGCCGAGGCGGGTGGATCACCTGTGGTCAGGAGTTCAAGACCAGCCTGGCCAATGTGGTGAAATCCCTTATCTACTAAAAATACAAAAAATTAGCTGGACGTGGTGGCGGGTGCCTGTTATCCCAGCTATTCGGGAGGCTGAGGCAGGAGAATCGCTTGAACCCTGGAGGTGGAGGTTGCAGTGAGCTGAGATCACGCCATTGCACTCCAGCCTGGGTGAAAAGAGCAGAACTCCGTCTCAACAAAAAGAGGCGAGGTGGTACTCACACTTGGGTCTTTTTCTCAGGTCTTTTGGAGTCTGGGGCCCGCTGGCTGGGTGTCCTGCGTTTGATAGTTCTAGAGCACCTAGCATGCTAGGAGATAACTTTTTTTTTTTTTTTGAGACAGACTTTCGCTCTATTGCCCAGGCTGGAGTGCAGTGGGGCAATCTCAGCTCACTGCAAACTCCGCCTCCTGGGTTCACGCCATTCTCCTGCCTCAGTCTCCTGAGTAGCTGGGACTACAGGCGCCCGCCACAGTGCCTGGCTAATTTTTTTTTTTTAATTTTTATTTTTAGTAGATATGGGGTTTCACCGTGTTAGCCAGGATGGTCTTGATCTCCTGACCTCGTGATCCGCCCGCCTTGGCCTCCCAAAGTGCTGGGATCACAGGCGTGAGCTACCACACCCAGCCGAGATAACTCAATTCTAACTTATCTTCCCCATTGGAGTGGTAGTTCCTTGTGGGCAGGGCCTGTCCCCCCACAAACACATACCCTCATAATTTATGTGTGTGTGTGTGTGTGTGTGTGTGTGTGTGTGT